TTTCTTGTATAAAAGAAAATTAAAGAGTTGACCATCCACTGTAAATTATGCTACGTGTATACAATTTAAGGTCCAAACTAAGAATATTTTATATTATTTTAGTAGAGAAAACTATGCTTTATTCATTTAATAATTTTTGTATTAAGAATATTCGTTTAATAAAATAAAATAATTATTTTCTTCCCTAAAAAAAAATTAATTATTTTCTTTTGAAGGTTTTTTTTTTTTTGAGTATATATGTATGGTATTTTTTTTTTTTTTTAGTATTTATGTATGGTATTGATTATGATTGCACAAACCATGGTTCCATGGCTATATTTTTATGCTAAAACAATCATATCATTTCTCGTCAAAAAAAATCATATTATATCATTAACTTAAATATATATTTAGAATAATTTAATTTAGTGAAAGATAAAGACTAGAGATCTTTTTTTTTTTTTTTTTTTTTTTGAGATATACTAGAGATCAATTTGACAAAAGATATATTTACTACTCGACTATTATCCTCTTATTGATTACACAATTGACTAAATTCCAAATTTATAGTAATTGATATTTTTGTAATTTAAGTAAAAAAAAAAAAAAAAAAAAAAAAAAAAAAAAAAAAAAAAGAAGCTTACTTTGAACTCTTCCTATCCGAGTAGGTATAGAATATATCCACTTTCACATTTTGTAAGATATCCCCCTCCTAAACTCACGCCACTCTAATAAAAACACATCCAACTTCCTAATTTATAGGTTTTTAAAAAAATTAAAAAATTGAATGGTTATTTTTTAGAGCTTCAAACGTTCAGTAATGGCAGACAAATAACAAAACTTGACTGATCACAATATAACTTATAAAATCACTACATTAAATAGCCGTGTTATGGTAATCATTATGAAAATATTATGTCCACCTTCAACAATATCATAACAGCTTCTAGATTACTACATTCAACAAATGGAAATTTACTGCCAAAATCAAATGATTTTTCAAAATTTAACACAAAATTATAAGATATGATAGTGTTTTTTAAATGAACTTTTGATACAGATAATTATTATTTAAATCTTAGAATTAATTTGACTTAAAATTGAAGCAAAGTTATGCTAATCTAACATTAATTTTATTGAATTCATAAACAATTAAGTAGTTTATGGACGAGTATTATATGACGAGTGAAGGTTTTAGGTTGAAGATGAAGATGAAGATGACATACTATGTAGTTGTGATTTATGTGAAGGTTATTTAAGGTTGAAGATGAAATATTTTTATTTGCTAATTTTTTTTATTTAAAAAAATATATAATTTCTATGCATTAAACACAAATCAATTAAACAAACAATCCCTTAATGACTGTTTTGCATAAGTGTCAAATTGAACGATTAAGATTAGTCAGTTAACAAATAAACGGTTCAGATTTAATTTTTTAACATAGTCGTCCATAATCGTCCGTAATCGTCTGTAGTCGACAACTACGCTAGAATTTTTAATATATATATAAATCAAGTATACTTGGTTCTAATGGAAATGAGTGAATCTTAAAACAAATATCTATCTTAATGTATTAATCATTCAATTTGTGTCACTACAAAAAGACTATACTTATGATTGCTCCAAGTGGCAACACTCAAAACCAAATTATATTCCAACTATAAATTTATATTTGCCTATAACATTTTACATATAACATTGTAAGTCATCTATCCCACACTGTATTTCATTTAAAGACTCAACCTAATTTATTTATTTTTGGTTTTTATGCTCATTAATCATTTTTTTTCTTATAGAATGGTCTTTTGGTGAGAATCAATCAATTAAATGTAACAAACAACATTACTTAACAAAACAAAATGTTAATATATGAAAAACTGTTTATTAAAAATTAGATTGCAAATATTAAGTATCTTTAATTTATGCCGTTTATTCTATGACATTTCATTATTCCAGCCAATTTATTGAAAAGTGGTATGTCATCAAATCATTGAAATATGTAATGAAATTATCTCTATTATGAATGGGATTACAAGTTCTTCAATGGTTAATCAATGAAAGCATTGACGTCTAATTTAATGCAATTATTTTGTTTGAGAAAATATTATCATTAAAATTTTCTATATACTCAAGATTTTATGTTTCATCCTTGTAAACGCGACTATGTTGAAACATGTAAATTTGGTGCCTCTCTCTTATGTGACAAAACTATAGGAAGGTTGAGAGGAAGAACTAAGGCTTAGGATGCCCAAAATTCAAAACAAATATGACGGAAAAAAAAAACGAGTTGAAAGTGATAATAATTTGAGAAAACCATTTAACTTTGGGGAGTATAACTAGTATCGGAGGAATATGATCTGATGTAATTAAATCATGTAGTAATTGAATCCAAGGATACACGACAAAACCAAGCAAGGCTAAGTATTCCATTCAAATCCAAGGATTTTCTACACGAACATGAGGATGAATACTTGAAGAAAATCATGGGTTATGATAAATCGGGTCGTGCTATAAGACGGACTATGGATGTGATGTTGATAGAGCCTGCACTAGTGAAATACGGCGACACGGGAGAGAATAAGCACATTATTAAGCAATTTAAAATTCAAATATTGGGAAGTGTTTTATGTTCTCGTTAAGGATTGGATACAAGTGGTGGAGAGGAATAAAATTATGGTTGGTCAAAAGTATAAATTGTGGTCTTTCAGGTATGTTAATCAAGATAATCAGAGGGATCAACTTGGCTTTGCTCTTGATAAACTTTGTTAGACCGTTCGTTGTAAATTATATCCGAGAAAAGAGAAAGAGATTTTGTATTAAGGGATGAAGTTGATGGTTTAGCTTAGTTTTATTAATATCTTGTTACATATTCATAAATACTCTGTACAATTTAATGTTTCATCAACCTCTTCTTATTTTTAATTGTCTACTTTCTTTATGTCAATATAATTGGTACTATTTTAAGTTTTAACTAGTAAGTAGCCCAGGTGTTGCCTGGGTAGTTACTACTTTTGTAATCGTGTAGTTGGGGTTTTATTTTTTTTAAATGATTTTGAAATTTGAAATCAACATTATTGAATGTTTTTTTTTAAAAAAAAAATAATAATTAAATCATGTAGTTAGCTTCATTATAAATGGTTGGGTGTTTGAATCCCCTTAATCTTATTTCTATACTAATATATTAAAAGGCGTTTATAAAAACGTCTACGTGTCACGTACACTACCCTCACTACACCACGTCACCAACTCAATTAATCATTACGCCACGTCATGCACAAGATATTCCTAAGAACGTCTATGTATCACGTAAACTACCCTCATTACACCATGTCACCAACTCAACTAATCATTACGCCACGTCATGCACTTATAAGCTCTACACAAGATTTGAACACGCAACCTCTAAATCTAAAACTAAGTGTTTTACCACCAATCTAAGTTATTTTTTATGTATTCTTTTGAATACAAAATATTAATATGCAACAAATGACAATTCAATATGAATAACAAATTTAATTGAGTTATAAATTACTATATATATTAATGATCAACACTAAGTAATAACCCAGGGCATCGCCCGGGCCCAAAAACTAGTTTTTATATGAAATAATGTGGGTTTCTTGGGCGACGTGGCATAGCAATTAAATATACGTTGATACATTTTTTCTTCTATGTTTCATCCTTGTAAACGCGACTATGTTGAAACATGTAAATTTGGTGCGAAAAAAAAAATGAGTTGAATGTGATAATAATTTGAGAAAACCATTTAATTTTGGGGAGTATAACTAGTATCAGAGGAATATGATCTGATGTAATTAAATCATGTAGTAATTGGATGATCTCAAATATTGTATTGATCAATGACTTTTTTGGGTAGTAATAGTAGTGTAATACTACTTAATTATTTGCAATTGGTCTTGTATGGATCCGGTCTACAATAAATTATTGTAAACCCAAAATTTGACACTTTCTTAGATGATATAATTTTATTTTTGTGAGTCATATTTTGAATTATATAATCTCATATCAAACCATTTAATGAGATTACATAATTATCTTTAGGATGATAAAATTTAAAAATCATGTTTTGAAATGATGTAATTTACTATTTGATACTTTTTATAATGATAAATTCATTTTTTGAGCTATACATTTAGCTAACAGTTTCAAAAGATATAATCACTTTTGTAGTAATATAATCACATCTCGTATGATATAATCACATTCGTATGGTATACAAGAAGGTTGGGTCTACAATAAGTTATTGTAGACTGGGTCTATTCTAGTCTTTGTAAATTATTTGAATTCCAAATCTAAGTATGATATCAATTAGGGGAAAAATTAATCGTTTTATTATTCCCATAAACTAGGTTATTAATTTTTTTTAGTTTTTTTTTTTTAGTTTTAAGTTCTTTTCAATAGCTGTGAACTTTTAAAATCTAATACAGAGTACAAAATTAAATTTTACTCTTAATTAATCATTTGTATTTCTTTTTAATGATCCCAAAATATTGTGCTTCTTTTTATTTTCATTTCATGCAAAATCATCAATAACACCCTTCAAAATTGATGTCATAACATTATGGTAATGTAATATTGTAAAAGACAAAAAAAAAATGTTTATATACAAAAACAGTACAATTTTTTTAATTTAAAAAAAAAATACTTTGTTCCTCTTTTGTTTTTACTTATTTCACGTTAAATTCGTTTTGAGATTAATTAGGTTAGGTCTCATTAATCTAAGTCTTGATTTGAATTTATAGAATATGTAATTTTTATAATTTTTATAAATTTTATAAATATACAATAAACTATTAATGGTGAGAGTGAGGAATAGCTCAAGTGGTTAGAGCTTCTCTTCCGATTTCAAGAGATCATGGGATCGATTTTCACCCCTGTCCTTGTGGCTCCCTAAGCACCAAAAAATAAACTATTAAAGTTTGTGCATTGTCAAATATGCATAGAAGTTAAGGTAGAACAACGTTTTTTTTTAAAAAAAAAAAAAAAAGAGGAATTATTATTAAAAAGATTTACCTATTTTTTTACAGAAGGAATATCAAATTTACAAACCATACGACGTACATGGTAAACATGTATAGACTTGAAAGTTACAACTTCGATTTCAAATCACACATCATACATCACAAGCCAATCAAAGAACTTCACCTACTGTTTTAGATAAACACTTTAAAACCATATAAATTACAATTGATAACATCCATATTATACAACACAATATGATCAATCATGCACATTAATACATAAATACATTTAAATTCCTAAATAGGGTAAGAAGGCTTCATAGCAATACCACAAAGACCTTGTTTAGCACCACCACCTCTCTTAATCTTCATATAACCTTTCTCACCCCATTCTTTTCCCCATGAATTTTTCACCAACCAATACTTACTCCCATCTTTCTCCTCCACTCCATACCCTATCACCGCCACCGCGTGATCGAGCTCCGTCCCACACTCTCCGTTAAACACCCCACCGGCATAGAACTGGAAGTCGAACCCTCCCCCTTCAATCCCCACTGATACCGGCTGATGAGCCACGGCTGCCAACAAGGCATCCTCGTTGTTTTCCGGAACATCCTCGTGCCCGTGGATAGAGACGGATTTTATGGCAGCTCGCTTTGCATTGCAGGTGCCATCAGTGCCCATGTAAGGGTACTTGGCCTCGGTGGTGAGGCCGCCGTGGCTCTTGATGAACTCGAAGGCGGTGTCCAGTAGACCGCCTTCACAGCCCTCGTCGAATGATGTGTCGCAGTCGACAAGCTCTTGCTCGGAGAGGGAGACTAATTTGCCTGTTTTGATTTGGTTTAGGCCTTCCATAGATGCTACTGCTGAAAATGCCCAACAACAACCTGTGGTATAATACAAAGTAGCCAATGAGGTTATTTGATTTTGATAGTTTTTATTTTAATACTCCCTCCGTTCCAAAAAGAACGACCCGTTTGGCCAAAACTTTGTCCCAAAAAGAATGACTCATTTGCATTAAAACACCACCAATTTGCAACAATATTTGTGCAAAATTAGCTTCCCCATATAAAAATTTGATTTTTCATGTTATTTTATTACTTTCTCTCTCTATTTTTTAACAAACCCCATGTAAATTTATCTTTCCAATATACTTTTACTTCTTTTACTTAACTTCCTTAATACCTGCGTAATCAACCCAAATGGGTCGTTCTTTTTGTGACGGAGGGAGTAATAATTTTAAAACATGTATTTATTACCAAGTAATAGACTATTACTTCGTACAATTATTACTAATCCTAGGTTTTGTGTTTGTAAACTACCACTTTTAATTTGTCATGTACTATCCTCCTGTATTTAATGGGGTTTTTAACGTATTGTGTCCCACCACTAATTACAAATTAATTTTGAGTATTGCTTTAATGAAAAATTAGTAGTGATGTGTTCGTGTGGGATCATGTGAATTGTTGAATTAATAATCTTACTACATATTTTTTAAATATCAAATTCTTATCACTTTTGCAATTACATATATATGTATGTTTTTGGTTTTACATTAGCAAAAGCTAAAAAAAAATGGTAATAATATTTTTATGAAATAGAGGTAATAAGAGTTAACCTTGTTTTGTTTTTTGGGATGTTGAGTTATAGTAAATTTATTTAAGTGACTATAATCCGTAAAAATTTAAGTAATGATTTACACAGTAAGCACGCAATTCCTAACATGTTACTGTAATAGTCTAGTGTCAATGAAAATTATGCTTATTATGTGAATTTTAAGTTAAAACCCTCTTAAATTGAAGTTTTATAAAAATATCATTTTCGTACACATGTTACCTGAAACATTAAGTTACTGACTTTAGATACAAAAATAAGGCAAATTACACTATGCAAAAATAAACTTACTTCTACACTTATTATTGATGTATGAAATGAAAACAAAAATTAAATAGGAGGATCAAATAAAGGAAAGGCTAAATAATTCTTACCACAATCCTCTTGATTTTTGATAGGAGTAACAGCACCTTTTTTCCTCCAATCCATAGTTGATGAAACACTATTGGTTAAATTTTCATATTTAAAAGATTTTGATTTTGACTTCAAATTAAAATGTTTGGACTGCCTCTTATAACCAGTACGAGAAGCTCTAAACTCCTCGTTAGTTAAGTCAGCAAAAGCATTAACACCTAGGGTAAACCCTCTATTCAATTTATTTGATGCTTCAATACGTTTAACATTTTCATTGAATATCTTCAATCGTTTTGATTTTTCAACTTCGTCTTTGTAGACACGTCCATGAAAATTCATCCATTTTTCGTGTTTCTCGATCATCGATGCCTCATCGTTGAGGAGCCGAGATGAGGCCAACACAATCCCAAATGAGAAAATAAGGAAAAATAACAAACAAAATTTGGTTACAATAGCCATGAAATGTTGAAAGTTTATGCTATTTTGGGATAGTTGAGTGATGATAAGTTTAGTTATTGTTTGCTTGTTACATTGTATGATTAATTTTGGATGGGACTATATATAAGCAAAGTTTGATGTGACCTATGGTATAAATCAGATTCCAACGAGTATCATGTTCATGGTCACTTCTTGTTAATTAAAATTGAGGCACATTCTATTATATTAAGGATTTAATAATGTAATAAAAGTATATGATTATAGAATCTTTAATATTTACACTTTAATATATTCAACCGTTAATCAAGTATAGCTTTAATTCCACTTTAGATTTACTATACTATTCCCGTGTTTTCGCTTTTATCAAATAAAAGTTATCTTTACCAATAAGGTCATGGCCTAATGGCAAAATTTGAGGACTTGTATACAATAGATCGTGTGTCGAACACCCTTTCTCCATTTGTAATTTGTATTGCCCTTGTGGCTAATTTGCGAAAAAATAGGGATTATCATTAATTGTTGATAAATTCACCAAATATTACTTTACTTACAACTTTAGAATGAGCATCTCCATTGGCAAACTATTAGCAAAATAGTTTGTCATACCATATAAGGTGCTAAGCTAATCTCCTTTTTAGATTGATTGTACTCCAAACCTTAACTAATAGCTTAAGTGTGATTCAAAGAGTTTTACTTTCTTAGGTAACTTTATTAATTTAATTTATTATTATATCAACCCCTTCTTTGGCAAATATGTTCATTTTTTAGTTTCGATTATCAAGCTAAGTGCTATTACGACTATTATATTGGATATGCTTATAGTATCCAAGGGACATTCATTAGAAGTATAACTTACTCCGTTGATCCAATCAATCTTTCCATTTTGGGATGACCTTGTCTAGCTTCTACATACATTTATTAGGTTATTATATATATATATATATATATATATATATATATATATATATATATATATATATTGAAAGAAGTTTGTTAAATTTAGCCTTATTTATAGAGAAATGAATGATGCACAACCATGCATAGTACTTTAAATAAAATTAGAAAGTATGGTAGTAAAGAATAAAAAATGTTACATAATACTATTACCATATAATACAAGTACTACTTAATTGAGAATAAAAGTAAGCTTTAATATTACGAATAATAAAAATATTATTACTCTGTACTCCTTCTCTTCTCACATTATTTGTACTATAAAAAAAAAAAATCACAGTATAATGTCTATTATACATTTTTTATGCTTTTTATACAAACAATGGTTTCGTTTATTTATACATTTTTTAATAAATGAATAATGAAAGTATTATTATTTTGTAAAACCGTGCATATTACGGGTTCTAAACTATTCATTAATGAAAGATAGTCAAAAGCACATACAAACAATTTCTAGGAAAATTAGAATTCCAACACAGGTACAAATCACCTTAGAACTAGATGCATCGCAGATTCGATCAACAATCATCTTAATAAAAAGCTTCATCCGAAATAATACAATATATTAGTTAGCATTAACTCGGCTTGAGATGCACAGATGAATAGTTGTTTGAGTGAAAATACTCATATGGTCTGATCTTTTGGATACTTTCAGATATTATAAAACCCTAAATTTTCAATCTTCAACAGACAAACTAAAAAAGAAATTAACCTTAATATAATAACATTCATCTCAAAGATAGGATTCATTTATAGAAAGCAATAAAAAAAATTTGGGGGCTTGCCACTGATAAAAATATTGATGGAAGCCCCTACAAAGATTTACAAAAGAGACTAGAAGAAAAAAGATGAAAAAGAAAGAGAAAAAAGGAGAAGAGTGAAGGAAAAACTTCAAAAAAGCAGAAAAAATCTAGCAATTGAGGTTAGAAATACCCTCCCAATGGAAAAATCCTAGAGGAAATCGAAACGTCCCGAGAAAGTGTGAATATATCCGTATTAGTTTATTTTTCATAAAATCTTATACACATATAATATGAAGTTTTTGGACTCTTATTTCTTTTGGTTTGAGTAATGATAATGAGTAAAAGAGTGTATGATCTATTCTTTAATTTAAACAAAGAATTAGTAATAATGTGACATTGACAATTATTATCAAGATATTATATTACTAGATTAGACTCGTGTGTTACACGATTTAATTAATTTTATTATTATGCATAAAATAAAATTTCATAATTTGTGTAAAAAAGAATGGTAATTGTTTTTGTTAGAAAAATGTATAGTAGTGTAGAGATTAAAAAAATTAAAATAAATGATGATATCACTCATAGAAAATGGAGGGAAATTTTCTAATGTTAAAATGATGATAATGTCAGCAATGTTTTATTTTAGTATTAGTTAATACTCCATCCGTTTTTAAATACTTGCTCCATTTCTCCATGCGCGGAGGTTTAGGAGAAATTGGAGAAAGTATTAAAATATGGAGGTAGTGGGGTTGGTGGAAGAATAAAAAATTGTAAAAAAATCAAAAGTACTGGAGAGAATTGAAGGAGAGAAAATGTGGATTAATATTATTGGGTCCACTTGGTGAGAGAAATTAATAAAATATTGTAAAAGCTTTTGAAATAAGAAAATGGAGCAAGTATTTAAAAACGGCTGAAAAAGAAAAGTGGAGCAAGTATTTAAAAACGGAGGGAGTAGCTTAGAAAATTAACGGATCTACAATCAAAATAGTTTATTATAAACATATTTATACTCAGGCACATTTTTAAAATCCATTTCTTTAACTGTGATGCTAGTAATATTTTTATTGTCGTTCAAAATTAATGTGAACTTACTGTAAATTTATTTATTTATTTATTTATTTTAAATAAAACTTACTGTCAATTTTATGGAAGCTGGAACATACTTTATTTTTGAAATTTAAATCTACGTAGTTTGTTATTATATGCTCCATAATTACCGGTTAGTTATAACTCTTCGAAGAATAATTTGGTTGATTGGAATTTGTTAGTGTCTACGTAACTTGGGGGACATGCTGAATTAGACTTATCTGTTGATTCCATTTTGGTCAATCTTCACTCCATTATCATTAATTAATTACGATCATATTTTACGCCAATGTAGGACATGCTAAGATACTTGCTAATTCCACTCATCTACGATTACTATTTACGATTAATATTTCCTTGTTGAACTCCTATAGTGGGCGGTCCAAATATGATAAGCGATAACATTAATGGACTCTCATAGTCATAATTCAAGTCTTAATCAATGTCTGTTTTTATTTTTTTTTATTTCTTTTTTTTTTTTGTGAAAAGGATTAGAATTTAATTAATTACACCAACTCCTTTACATACTACTCCCTCCGTTTTTAAATATTTGTTCCACTTTCCATTTCCTGTCATTTTTAAATACTTATTTCATTTTTACTGGGATAAATTTTCACAATATTCACAATTCTAATGGGATATATTTTAGGAAACAAGATAATTGTGAATATCGTGAAAATATATCCTAGAGAATATTGTGAGCTATTTTAGGTTATTTGGTCTTGCCCTCCAAGTATACCTAATATATAAATATTGTATGTGATCATTGTGATTAACGAGAATTACACAGAGATTATAATTCATTATATTTTTTCATGGTATCAGAGTCAGGTTAAGTTGTGTTGTGATATGAGCCAATATTATGGACAACTCACATGTGAGGGAGAGTGTTGAGCCCATGAAAAAACCCACATGTGAGTGGTGTGTTGTCCCACATTGATTTAGTTTATAAGAGTTTGTATTGGGATGTGTATCCCACATTGAAAAAATCAGAAAGTTGTGTCCACTTTATAAAGTTAAGGGGCTACTCCCCTCATTGTCATATGGTTTTGAGGTGGAACCTCCTTGGTCGTGTAAAGTGGATAGTTGTGACGGGTGTGGCCCAGGCCTGCTTATCAATTTTCTTATTTAGAAAGATTATACAATATTTAATTCATTCTTTCAACTAGTGGGATCCGAGATTTATACGCACGCAAATGACATTATATTGAACATAGTGATCCTTATTTTTAACATAGTAACCTTTTATTGATGTTACAATAAATTAGTGTGAATCAGGTTCATTTAAGAATTTGTATTTCATATTTATTACTTTTTCCAATATTTCCAAAAACTCCACGCATGAAAAAATAAAGCAAGTATTTAAAAACGAGGCAGTAGAAGCCTTATTAACTAGAAAAGTTACATTGTTTCCTTCGATAATCACATAAGCAGTTGTAAGGGTTACCAATAAGTGCATAATACAAAGAGGTTAGGGATACAAATAAGTGCATAATGCTCGAGCGCGTGTTAACTTTGAAGATGATGTTCATTTGTGATTTCGTGATTTATGGTTTATTGGTGTGGGTGGATATCATGTCAAGTCGAGCTTGTGATGAGCAGCATGAGCTCATGTCGGTGGTAGCCTGGTAGGGGTGAGTAAATCGGGTACCCGCTCAAAATTTTAGGATCTGAACTCGAAATTGGTTGGGATCGGTTCCTAAAATTTGGAATCGGAATTGGGACCAGTACAACCGGGTTTTACAATTTAGGATTTGGAATTGGTTCCACATGATACCGGTTCCGTTTCCGGGTACCCATTTATATACATAAGTGTTAAAATATAATACAAATCATAATATTTTTTGGTTTATTTCCACTTTTAGCGTTTAATACTTATATTTTTATATACATTAAGCTATTTTATATATGTTAAATATTAATTTTTTTTAGTGATTAGTTACCTTCAACATATTTTTGTTTTTTAAAAATATATTTAGTTCAATATATGATAGGTAACCGGGTACCCAACCGGTTCCGGTTCCAAAAAATTGAGAATTAGAAGTGGAACCGGTTGCAACCAGGTCCTTAAATTATTACCCGAAATTGAAACCACCGTGTCCAATTCCAATTTCGGACCCGTCGGTTCCTAACCGGTTCCAGTTCCAATTCCGGGTACCCAGAATTTTTTCTCACCCCTAGTTGGTGACTCGGTGGGGTTATATCTATATTATAATGGAGAAGCCCTTGTCCCCATCTACCCCACTTTTATTACTCCCTCCGTTCCTTTTTTACAGTATATTCCTACTTTCTTTTTTGGGTATTCCAAAATTACATTCCTCC